AGTCTACCTGCCCTCTGAGATATACCCAGGCTAAAAGAGCAAGCAAGGTGACAGCTTCCTAACTGGTCCTAGTCTACCTTTCCTGGAAGGTTATTGGGGAGGGAATTTGTGACCGCTCCCAGAGACCTCACACTCTGTAAACGTCCCCCAGAACTGTCCCTTCTGTTCCTAAAGCCTTGGGTAAGTCACTTGCTCCTGGGCATTTCCAGTGACTTCTCTGTCTTCTAACCCCAGTGCCAGCCACCTTGGAGCCGAGAACTGCAAGCCTTGGGCAGGGCCTGCGGACTTTGAAGTGGTGTGCATGGCCACTCCACTCCTCCCTGGCCCTAAGTCCTCTCCTGCCAGCGAGGGGCCTTGGGCGCCACCGCCGCTGTATGGGCAGCGTTGGTCAGCCCACCGTCACTCGGGAAACCTCTCTCCGGGATCATTCGTTGACTCTGAATAAAGAGCTTAAAATTCAACCAGGGGGAAAAGGAGTGGGCAATCAGATAGCCTCCCCACCCCACATACCTGTAATATGGGCGAGGTCCGTGCAAACGCCAAAGCGATTTCTTCCAACAGTTATCTCGAGGTCAATGAAGCTGGGCTGTGGAAAGCTTAAGGTCACCTAGTTGGGGGTAGGGGGGAACTCGGGGAGGCAGGAAAAGATAAGTGAACACTTCGCCTGAGCAACCACAGTGCAGTCATTACAGAAAATAATATCAAGGCATGTCACTGCAGCACTCTGTGAGAAGGCAACCGCAAGTTCTCCTTTGGTTCCGGAGTGAAGGAAACAGCTGGGGGTGTAGGGAGAGAGGAGGAGGAGAGGAAAGAATTTTCCAAACTCAAGCTCACCAGAAACCGGGGTGGGGGCGGTGCAGTCAGGGGGACACCGTTTTTTCTCTCCCCCAGTAGCTTGTAAAAAGACTTTGGAGCCCATGTGAGGTTAGCTTATGGAGGGCAGCTATAGTAATGCCGAGACCTGCGAGGTTTTGTGACTCGGCCTTCACACGTCTAAAATGCAGTTAAGGACCCTCTTATCAGTGTCACATCAAGGCACCAAGTTAAGAAAACAAAAGCCAAAACAACAATAAAAGGGGAAAAATCAAAAGCGTATTCAATTACCGAGTCCCGCTGCCCCTGCGGAACTGGCCGAGCGTTAAGCTCTCTCTGTTCTTTCTGCGGAATTCCATTTGCATCCCCTCTGCCTGTGTGTGTCTCTGTCGGTTTTCACACTCTCCTCCCCATTCGAGAGAGGCCCACACCTGGCGCATCACTGGCGAGCCATTAGCTGCGGGTCTCCTTTCATCTTCGTTGCGGCAGACGTTTCTATTTATCCACTTGCGCTCGCCGAGTGGCGTCACCAGCGGTACTGTAATGACGATTGCAGCGAGAGGATGACAGCTTAGAAAGAAGAGGGCAATGGGGCTTCCTCCCAGAGGCGGTGCGGCACTGAGGAGCGCTCGCATCACAAGGTGACCCCAGCTCCCCACCGCCGCCGTCACTGCGCTCCCGTCGCTCCCCACCCGCCCAGCCGCCTGGCCACTCTTTCTCCTTCCAGCAGCCAAGACAGTCCGGCCGCTGGGGACCCAAGGAGCCGGGGGTTAGGTGCTCACTGGGGCTCCCCCCCCCCACTTCCAGAGCACGCGGGAATGGAGAGCCGAAAGGACATGGTTATGTTTTTGGATGGGGGTCAGCTTGGCACCCTGGTTGGCAAGAGGGTCTCCAATTTGTCCGAAGCTGTGGGCAGCCCGTTGCCGGAGCCGCCCGAGAAAATGGTGCCCCGTGGTTGCCTGAGCCCGCGGGCCGGCCCTCCAGCGGCCCGGGAGCGCGGCGGCGGAGGCCCGGAGGAGGAGTCCGTGGACGGAGTAGCAGGCAGCGCTGCGGGCCCGGGCGCCGAACCGCGAGCATCCGGGGCGACTGTCCTCGGCCCAGGGCCCCCGGCCCCCTCCACAGACAGCCTCGCCGGCCAGGGGCAACCCAGCAGCTCGGACACCGAGTCGGATTTCTATGAAGAAATCGAGGTGAGCTGCACCCCGGACTGCGCCACCGGGAACGCCGAGTACCAGCACAGCAAAGGTAGCCATCGCGCCCCCACACTCCCCAGTCCGCCCACAGCGCTGAGCTCAGCTCAGGTCGCGAGGGCGGTATCCCGTTTTCTCCGGGACAGGGTGGTTGAGGGGTGGTGGGCTCTCCCCTGCTACCTGCACCCTGGCAGGGGTCTCTTGGGCTTTGGAAGTTGCAGGACAGATGGTGACAGTTGTGCCCTGGGAGAGGAGGGAGACTCAAGCCCTGGACTCGAGGGGGGGGATTCATAGAATACCCCCAGTGTTTCTGCGAGAATGCTTCAACTGAGCCGGGAAGACAGCTTCCCCGGGCGTGGGTACATCAAACGTAGGTCCGGGCAGTTTGTGGCTGCCAGGGTGTAAGGCACACATAAGCGCGGAAGCCTGCAGTCCATAAAGGACCGTAAAATCGTGGCCGGCTGGGGCAGCCCGAGAGCGGTGGCCCTCGGACTAGTTTGCACGTCGGTCGGAGGTCCAAATTACCTCGTCACTTCCCGGGCTCGGCGGCGCCAGGTCGGAAATGGTCCCTATAGTCTAATTGCCTTTGGTCTCCGGTTGCATTTGAAAAGGCAGAGCTAGGGCCCTCCCCTCACTACCACCCCCAAGCCCTACTTCTCCACCCAAAGGAAAAGGAGCTGCAGGGGGCTGGTGAGCCCCACCCTTCCCTGGGGTATGCCCAAGCGGGGGTGTGTGTGGGGGGTGTGCTGTCAGACTGATTCAACTAGAAAACCCCTCCCCACCAAGGACTAGTGGGAGGGGGTGAATGGCACCAAAGAAAGGGTGAACAGCCCGGAAGAGAGCTTTCCTTCTCTTAGCCAACAGTCCCCCCTAGGGGGCTGGAAAAGGGAAGGGGGAGTCCGCCAGCTCTGTCTGTCAAAGCCTTTCAGCTCACCAGCAGGCACTCCCCCACAAGGGTGTGTGTGTGTGTGGGGGGGCTGTGGGAAGGGTCTGGGAGGGGGAAAAACAACCACCCTTGGCCTTGGCAGCCAACACCTTGTGCGCCACATCCACCTTATGCACGCAATCCAAACATGTCCTCAAAACAACCGGAATACCATCCAAGATGCTCCCAGTAATAGGGTCCTCAAACATGCATTCCTGTAGCACCCCTGCACAACTTGCAAGCCAGTCTACACTCCCAATCCCATGTTCATAACCTGGCACACCCGAGTGCAAGGCCTTAACCCAGAGCACACAATACCCCCTCACACAGGTTCACCTGAACTCCCAGGTCTGTCAGACACAAACACCCTTGTCCACTCTGCCCACCTAGTAAGGATGCACCTCCCTGTGCCACAGGCCAGGGGTGCAGGAGAAGAGCAGCAAGGGCTTGTGTGCCCAGGAGGCCTTAGACCAGGGCCTCCCAGCCAGCATCCTGAAGGGCAAGGCTTCCTCAACCAGTTCTCTTTCCATGCCAACTCTATCCTCCCTTCCTCACCCCTGGAGTCTGCAGTGCCCAGCAGGGACAGTCACTGAGGCCAGCAAGGGGGTGGTGGTGTCTCATTTTCCCCTTAAGGCCACCTAGCCTCCAGCCCCAAGTAGGCAGCTTTGTGTGTCTGTGCACACACACGCGTGTGTTTTGGGCTCCCTGCGCAGGACCCGGCTCCGAGGCACTGACCAGCAGTCCCAACAGCGGCAGCGAGGCCCCCAAGAGCAATGGCGGTGGCGGAGGTGGTGGCTCGCAGGGCACCCTGTCCTGTAGCGCCAGTGATCAGATGCGCCGTTACCGCACGGCCTTCACTCGGGAGCAGATCGCGAGACTGGAGAAGGAATTCTACCGGGAGAATTACGTATCAAGGCCACGGAGGTGCGAGCTGGCAGCCGCCCTAAACCTTCCGGAAACTACCATTAAGGTATATATGGGTGAGTGGGTGGGGGGCTGCCCACTCAGAACAAAATAAATACCAACTGCCCATTCCATTCTTTCAGCCGAGCCAGGCATATGGAGCTGGGCTCATCCTGCCATGTGGCCGCAAGGAGTGGGGCGAGGCAAGTCACAGGGCTGATTGATCTATTTTCCTAGGCAGCTACTGCTCCATGCTGTCATGCAGATGACCCCCTCCACCCCCACCCCATTCTGAGCCAGATAGGATGGGGTCAACTTGGTATTCTGGTTGGCAAGAGTCTTCAGTTTGTTCGAAGTCAAGGGCCTTCAGCTATGGGGGCGACAAGGAAGCGCCCCAAAAGAGAGTGGCTGAAAGGGGATTCGTTTCTGGGATCCACTGCCTGACCCCTCTGACCGGCCAGTTTCCTTGTGCCCCTTACTACTTACTGCCTACACTGGCTCAGGCACCCCAGAGGGTCAGAAGGAATGGCAGGGTGGAAGTCACCCCTGAACCTCTCAGGGGAGGGATTTGGCCTCCAGATGGTGACGGGAAACCTGCTGGCCTGCTCTCCCCTGTGTTCTGGGCAGGCTCGCCTGCAGCTGGGCAGGACTTCTGAGCTCTGGCGGCTGGGTCAGGTCCGGCCGCCGCTCACGCTCCGCTCCTCCCGCAGGTGTGGTTCCAGAACCGGCGTATGAAAGACAAGCGGCAGCGGCTGGCCATGACGTGGCCACACCCGGCGGACCCTGCCTTCTACACCTACATGATGAGCCACGCGGCGGCCGCGGGCGGCCTGCCCTATCCTTTTCCGTCCCACCTGCCGCTGCCCTACTACTCGCCCGTGGGCCTGGGCGCCGCGTCCGCCTCGGCCGCTGCCTCGCCCTTCAGTGGCCCGCTGCGCCCGCTCGACACGTTCCGCGTGCTGTCGCAGCCCTACCCGCGGCCAGAACTGCTGTGCGCCTTCCGTCACCCACCGCTCTACCCGGGCCCCGCGCATGGACTGGGCGCCTCGGCCAGCGGCCCCTGCTCCTGCCTCGCCTGCCACAGCGGCCCAGCCAACGGGCTGGCGCCCCGGGCCACGGCCACTGCCGCCTCGGACTTCACCTGTGCCTCCACCTCCCGTTCGGACTCCTTTCTCACCTTCGCACCCTCTGTGCTCAGCAAGGCCTCCTCCGTGGCACTGGACCAGAGGGAAGAGGTGCCCCTCACCAGATAAGGGGCCGCCCGCGGGCTACCAGCTCCAGGACGCCCGTGGGGGCTCCCCGGGGACTCAGCCAGCGCCCCACCCCGACCCAGGACACCAAGGGATAGGAGAGGGCCTCAAGGACCAGAGACACACGGTCACCAGGATGGGGGCCCCGGGGAAGCGGCTGTGTTTTGGGGAGGAGGAGTGGGGATAGGGGAAGCAGAGACCAAGAGCTTCCTTCTAGGCAGCCCATTGGTCTCCTCCCCTTAGCCCATCGGACTGGGGTTGAGGCCATAGATCCAAAACGAAATAAAACTTAGCCACAACTACTGACATCCAGTTCCTTAGCCTTTTACCTGTCCCCCGCCCCCCAAGCCCCTTCATTACCGGGCACCCCTCCTTCTTGCCAATGCCAAGCTCAAGCACTGGAGAGGGAAATTGCTGTCTCCTAACAAAATGCTGTGTATGCAGAGCAGGTAGAGATTAATCTTTGCCAGCTTCCCCAAAGCATGGCAAGGGGTTCATGGATGGCAACCTAGCCAGCTACTGGAAATGATTTACTACCACGGATAATCCTGCCACTCAGCACGAACCAGGGGTCTCAGACCTTCAGCCTTCCCCCAGCCAGTCTCAGTTACACAGTGGCGGTTCGAGTTGACCAGCACCTGATCTGTCTCTCCTTCCAGCTTCCAGAGCCCTGCTCATCTTGCAGCTCCACCCCCATCTTCACACACTTTTTGTTTGATGTTGGCAGGGAAGCTGCTGTCAGGGCCCCTGGGCAGCTTGTGGGAGGCCTGGCCTCTTCTCCCATAGCTCAGTGGCACACCCTGATTAGCAAGTGATGTGTGTGAGGAAGGTTTTTGAATGTTGAATGTATAATAATCATCACCATGCGCCTGGCTACCAAGCGAGCTAGGGCTGAGCTGTTAACAAGGCGTCCAGGGAAGAGCTTAGGGAGTGGGGACCTCACTTCCCTCCCTCAGTATCAGACAGCAAATTAGACAGACTGTCTCCATCCTTTGCTCAGTCACTTTCACGTACCAGAAGCTTTGGGGCTTTTCTCTTTGCATTTGGCATTTTACATCCTTCCTCTCCTTTTTTCCCCCTCCCCCCTCATCCTGAAAATAACGCTGGGCTTGACTGTCATGTCCTTCCACTGGGAGCCTTCTGTCCCTTTGGGGGGAACCCTTGCATCAGAATTTGAGGGCCATTCCCACACCCTCACTCCCACACTCATCCTTGCAGCTGTTTTGTTTTTGCAGGAGAATTGTAGTCCCTCCACGTGCCAGCTCCCCCACTTGGGGTGGAAGTGCTGCTTCCTTCTTACATAGGAAATGGATTTGATTTGGTTTGATTATCCTTGGAAGTCCAAAGAATTTGCTGTTACGATTTGTTAACCATATCGCAATAAAAGCTGGACATGATTCTCACCTCAGTACTTTCACTTTTTTTTTTTTGGGCCAATAAGCAGCACATTGGCTCATTTAAAAATTGTTCCGTAAGTCACCATAGGCTTATGGAAGGATAAAAAAGTTGAACCCATAGACAGTGTCCTAGGCCATCCTGTTGGGTACTGGTCCTCTCCAAATAGAGGGCAGAGGTGGAGAAGGCTGGAGAGTGGGCACCAAGTCGCTTTGGGAGGGGGATGTTTCTTTATGGAAATGTCTGGTCTAGTCCTCCAGGGCAGAACTGTCTGGGGCTCACCCAGTTGCTCCAGTCCTTGAAAGGCGTGGGTCTTCTGGTAGCCTAACTCCACTCCAACCCAACGTGGAGGCTAGTGGGGAGGCGGTGGTGCTGCTGCTGCTGCTGGTGGTGGTGGTGTGTTGATTCCTGCTATGTCTTTGGCTGGCGGGTGGGGGAGGAGAGGGAGGAACTCTTGAACTGGGATGAGAGCATCTGAATTTCTGGCTGAGGCTTCCTCCCCGGGAAAGTCCGGCTGCAGCCAGGCGGCCAGCTTGGCGCCCTTGGCTAGGCTGGGAGGCCCCTGTGTATTGGATGCTGAGGGCTCTCCACTCCACGATGGTCTCTTTCTGTACTCAGTGGCCCCTGCCCTCTAGAGCAAATCCTGGCGCCCAGTTTTCCTGCATCTCATCCCTGCTTCAGCAGCCCTGCGCAGCTCCCTCCACCTCTGCGAAGCTCCTGGGTGCCAAACTCGGGCAAATTTCTTGGTTGTTTGGTGTCAGGTCGAGATTGCTTGCGACAGGTAAATGGGCTGCGGTTGCCGTAATGCCAGGCGTATTTTCAGTTAATAGGGAGGGAAAATGAGGTGTCGGCAGCGATATTGGAAAGTACAAGATCGATGATCCGGCCTCGTGTCCAATCAGCAGCCTTTAATTGACTGTATTTTCTGGGTAATTGAGCCTCTCTTCCTCCAAATTGAAGTGGAAGATATAACAATACATCTTGCCAGGAGGAATTACTCATTACTTCATAATGAAATTTCCCTTTTGCCAAGGTTTGCGATTTGGCGCTAGGCACCGCCTCCACTCGTCCCCTGCAAGAAAACACGCTCTGGTCAAGCCTCTCTGGTTGGACACAACACCATTTTAGTGACTTGTGTGAGTCAAGAGTGTGCGTGCCTGCGTGAGAGATGACCACTGTGCTCATCTTCCAAACCCTTCATTTGGGAAACTAGACAGCTAGACCAGCCAACAGGGCTTGATCTAGTAATGCTTTTATTTTTTCAACCTCCTCGGGTTACCCGCTACTCAGCTTGACCCCATATTGTGCCATTTAGCAGGTGCTCAAGTGGAGGCTTCCGTCTGAGCAGCTATAAACCATAGATGAGCTCTGGGGCCCTGCTTCCTTTCCCTCTTCCACTCTTGGTGGGAAAGTGGTCACCCCTCCGAGTTTGACACCTCACTCCCGACTCACTTTTCGCCACAGTTCCTTAGCTTACCGTTTCCGGGGCGACCAGAGGTGCGGTCCAGCGCCTGGCCCCCTAGCCGCCTGGCTCAGCTCTGCAGGACCCACGGCCCTGCAGCCCAAGAGCGCGCCTGGCGCGGGTCGTCGCCAGCTTGTTAGCGTGTGATTGATTGCCTTATTAAAGCGTGTTCTTGTAAGTGTGACCAAACTGATTGCATTGCATATGTTTGGGATAATGCTCATTTTAAACAACAGGATAAAGAGGATGAGCTCGGCAGAGCATCCGAAGACGAAATGATTCTGGCCAGCAGCTCCCTAACTCTGGCATTAAATTGCCCAGTTATATAGCAAATCATTCGGTTCCTCCACCCTGTCCCTGTCATTTTTTTTTTCTTGGCCTGCAGTTTGATCATGTGCCTCAATGTCATCTGTCCCACAAATGTTTTCTCTAGTGACTGCCCAGGCTTCCCTTTCTGGACCTGAACAGCCCATCACTGAGCCCCTACCCTTTAGTCAATCCCAAGCAGAAGATGTGGTTCTGAATGCACCTTCTCATGTGGGGCCTCCTGGGGGACATGCTGTAGACTGGAACCCCAACAGGAGCTTCCTGTTGTCCCCAGAAGAGGCAATTAGCTGGGAGCCCCTCCAACCCTCTTTTGGAAAGTTGAGAAGATTCTTTTGTCCCCAGACTTCTCCCGCTCGGCTGCTTCCATTATTCCCTGACTGGGGAGACACCCGTCACCATATGTCAGTGGGGAAAGTGTGGGTGTCATGGGGGACAGTTGCCGAGAGAGATGGCCAGACGGATGGCATTCTCAGAGTGGGATGAGTTTGCTTTCTCAGCATCCTCTCTGTGTACTGTCACTCTTAGTGGGTGATGGAGGAGGAGGAGGAGCCAGGAATCACCAGGCAGGGGAAGGCAGAGGAGAAGTTTGGAAGGGCAAAAATTGGAATTTGCTTTGAATTATTCTCACCTCCACCTAGAGCCATTATTTGTGGTGAGGCTCCCTTTCTGTCTAGGTTTCCTTTTGAAACAGATAAATCCTCAGCCAACTCCAGCCACTTCGGTCACTTGCACAGGGGGCAAAACTGATGGCAGATTGAACTTCCTTTGGGATCAACTGGAATTCGGATTTGTTCCAAATAAGGCTGGTTATCAGAGCAAATCAGAAATGATGCCCCTCTTCAGAGTGTCATTTAAAAATGCAGCCATGCGGATTCGTTTGCAAGACAGAGCTGAAATGTGTCTAAATAAGTGACTTGGTTCAAATGCCACTTTTCTTCCCTGAGCTTCTCCGGGGTTTTGCAGGGACAGGCCCACCAGACTATCCCAGAATGAAACCAAGGTCCAGTTTACCGTTTGTGCCAGCTTGGGACCTCAGGAATGGTGACCCTAAGTGGGGGGAGAAAAAAACCACCAACTCAACCACAAAATGCATATTACAGTATACAAAGCAAACAGAAATATAAAGTCATTTCCAAAATCGCCTTCTCAGCAAATAAGTATGTGTGATATTCTGAGCAGGGGCAGGAGGGAGAGAAAGATGGCCACTTAAAAAGTAACATGAAAGCATTAAGTAATTATTTAAAACAAGGCTGTTTAGAAAAATATTTGTATTTATTGCAGCTGCTCAATTGGCCTCGTTAAAGTCGGCAAGCATTTAAATCGTGTTACAGTCTCATTTAAATCCCTCTCCGTTCCAGCAGGCTGAAGAGCCTGAATAGACCAATCACTTCATAATGATGATGAATGAGAAATTAATTCAGATACAAGCAAGACAATTTAGGCCTTCATCTGTTTAAATAGCCTTCCAATATTATTCGCGATCGCGGGTCACAGATTGAATCAATTGTCCAATCTTGTGAAAGTCATATCCTTGCATCTTCATCGAGATTATTTATAGCGCAGTGAGGGCTGCTGAAAGGTAGACGCTGTTAACAGGGACAATTACTTAAAGGGAAGCGTTTATAAAATGGAAAACAAATGCCCGGCTTGGTAACAAATGGGATCAAAAGCAGCCATTTCAATCTGGCTCCTCCAGGGAAAGGAGTGGCCGGATGAGGCTGAGTTCCCTGGGACTGGCCTCGGGTCTCCTACCGTGTAGGTGGGGCCCGGCCTCCCGGGCGCGCCCGACAGGGTCAGCTTCTCCCACCGGGAATCGCGG